TTATGTGGCTTCAAGTGCCGATGAGAAGCGGCACTCCCCATAGCAATCTATCGTCAATAGTGTTATTGCTGATGGGAAAAAAAGCACAATCCCTGCTAAGTGGAACACAGTTGCAGCGAGTTTCCTGCAGACCTGAGGGACAGATAACGGAGAGGTCTGCTCAGCCCATCAGCATTAAAACAGAACTTGTATTGACATAGAAAAGTAGTAAAAGACTTGGACAGGGCGACACATTTTTCATTAATATGACTCAATTTACAGAGAACGACCCTGAAGTGAAAGTTGTTCCCTATGTGTCCACTGCGGGGCGCCAACGAGTCTGTCAGACCCCCAGTCAAAAAGCAGGTGGTGGATAGCGCTCTGTAATTGGCTGATAAGCGTGGGAAGAGCTGCCACGACGGGCCAATAGGAGATTAGAACATTCGTTGCTTTATTTGATTGGTTTAGAGGGGGTGTCAATCACAGAGCGAAGAGGTCCAGCTGCAACTCGGCACCATTCTGATGTTTTGCTCTCTGGAGGACGGAGCTCCGGTGCCAAGCCGCCTTAACACACACTCGTGCACACACACACCCACACACTCTGAAAAATAAGCTGGGCAACGATAGCCTACAGTCTCAAAGGACAATAATTCCAATATGTTCATATTAAATGTGCTGAAATAATAGAAATGAATAATTTACTATTTAATCAAAATATGAAAAAAATAAAAAAAAAGATTTAGATCGCCTTTGAAATGTAATACTGATTATTGTTAATTGGACCTTCCATTCATATATATATATATATATATATATTCTAATTAAATTCGCTTAAATAGATTTAGATAGATTTTTCTCAAACAAAATATATTAAATATGGAATATACTTTCATGGTTTATTTTCAATTTATTTTCTAAAAATATTGAAAAAAAATTAACTATAGAGTGACTTTTTTTTTCATCTGATAATTTTCTCATCTGTGGATATTTGAGACTGACATTTTTAAATCATTATAAAATGTTGCCATTTTCTATATTTTAACTATAATAATAATTTTCTTCACCAACCAGTGTGTAAATCTTTGAGACAGCATACATTTGCATGAGAATTTCTATATTGAGTTTTCTCATGCTTTCTAATTTTATTCAGTCACTTTTTTCTATCTGTAATTAACTAAATTCAAATGTAGTTGTAAACAGATAGAAATTAGTTTACTTTTCAATCTAAAAAACAGTATTTGTATGACTCGGTGTGGCAGTACTAACAACTAAATCTAATTACCTCTAAAATATGTCCTAAGGTCAGCGTATAGATTGACTTTAAACTCAAGTTTAAGTTGTTAGTTTACTTCTGAATACACCTCAATAAGGACGACGAAATAGTCCCTCGAACATTAGCCTGACTAGTAGTTCCCATAATCCTTTGGGAGGTGAATCTGAGGGACGCATGCGCACAAGCTTCGTACACGTTGCGTACCATTCCACCAATCGGCGCCGTCCTAAGACGGGCAGGTGGGAGTGATTTAAGCTTTCTCCCGCAATAAATCTGTCAGAACTTCGCAAAGTTGATTTAAATGTGTTTCACATCGTTATGAAAATACTTGTGGATTAATCAGACGACTGCTCGCTGGCGCCAGCTCAATTGGAGTCGTTTACTTTAACTATTTGAAAATATTCAGACGCAATTCGGAGCTTTTAGGTTTTGGACTTGTCAGGCCACCAGGCCGTTTTCTACTGCTTTAATGCAAGCGAACCGCAAATCTTACATGCTGTTGTCAAGAGTTTTTCCTTCTTTGTTTTCAGTCATAGCATCGTGTAAAAACCTAAAACGCTGCACGACAGCCCCCCCACTCCCTCCCTTATTTGTTGTGCTGGAAGCAATCTCAATGGCAGTTTTGCTTATTGAATATTACATTACCTAAACGACTACTTAACGGTGTTGTCCGTTGCTTGTTAGATTTGTGTCCGGCTTTTGCAGGTGGTGTCGGTCAGTCTGCTGCTGAGCCAGCCAATGGGAGCCACCGTGCTGTGGTCAGGGTTGTGTGGAAATGGGCTCGTCTGAGCCACTAATGGTTGTCTGTGTGATTTCGTACCATTTTCGAGGCTTCTCCGTAATATAGTTGCACATAAGGGGTCTCCAGACTCAGCTATTGTGAATTGGATAGTAGTGTATTTCAATTATCTAGCAAAGTGTAGTTGTATTAGTCTCCTGAAGATATAAAAGCTGGAATGGATTTGGACAAAATATTTATGTGATGGTCCACTGTTGTTATTATTATTATTATTGTTGTTGTTATTGTTATTATTTGGACGTTGTTGATATGGCAGAGGTAACGTCAACTGAAGAAATTATGGAAAATGTGCATCAATCCAAAACTCAGTTTACGGAAATAATATTTCCTATTGCCTATACCGTGTTTTGATGTAAATAAACATAGAAGAAATAGTAACTATTAAATGTAAAGCGTCAATATAGAATGATTTACACGCTGAGCGGATTTTCTCAGTGTTTAACATCAAAATGTGAGCAATTCCAGAAGTTATCCCGTTTTAATATCAAACAACTCGCGTTGCGTTTAATGACCCCTCTACATCAGCAGGGGTCGCAGTGGGACCAGCTCTCCGGCTCACTAACCAGCCGGACACAGAAATGGAAAGCTGTTGCCTATGGCAACATTAAGAGGTTTTACACCATAACAAAGTTATCAATGTTCGCCTTTCTCTGGGATAATTATTTACATAACAGTGAAAACCCTGAATTTTCTTTGAAATGTCCCTTGAGACTATTTCAAATGTGTTTTATACTCCTTTGCAAATTCATGAAATATTGTCAACTGTGCACATTACTATCACCATTATTTGTGACAAACTTTCTGAAAAATCATTTTAAATAGCCTGTGTTTATACATATTCATTATTTTATCATACAATCTATTCTATTATATTTGTATTTGTATACGTCATATACAATATATTCACATTTGTATATGTTCAATATAATGTATAATCTCATATAGTTATGTTATATAATGTAAATTTTCTACAATCAGAGGTTGTTAACAAGGAAATAATATATTCAAAGGCAGAAAATGGTTTACATTTCAGATATTTTCAGGAAGTCACTTTTTTGTTATCTACTACTCAGGTTGTGGGCTGACTGGGGCTTTGAAGAAACCTCATTGGGGCAACAACCAAAAAGCAACTAACCAAAAAGAATAAAATACAGAAAGTCAGAAGAAAAATACACTTTTTGTGCACTATATATGTGCTGACAGCTGATATCATATAAGAAAAATAAGCATATATCTAGAGATGTTCTTTTAAAAACATTTGTGGTAAACAGCAACACAATTTAATTTTGGACCACAAATATGCTAACTCATATGAGATATATCGCAATTAACCTTGAGGTTGTAGCAAATTACAATTTATGCAAATGAGGAAATATTTAATTTAGCTTACATATGTCTGAAGAAATTCCCATGGGATTTTTTTTTTAGTACCTACATGTGTTTTTTAAACAAGATTTTCTTTGTTGTTATGGAAACAAAGAGACTAACTAAATCTAAAAAAACAAAAAACCCAATGAGCTTGAAAAACCAATGTCTTCCCTTGCAGCATCTCATTTCGGGTAATAGAATTCTTCTCATACCATTCAATATACATCAGGTTGCATACTGTAGGGAATTGGTCATTTTCTTCAACGATAAGTTTATTCAAAAGGCACCAGCACGTCTGTCTCTTCCACTCTATAAACATAAATCAAGGCTGTCTCTAATCACTGCAGTTCACACTGCATCAACCTTGGATAACCTGTTTTCTGCTAATGCATGTTGGTCCGACCAGACAGAGACCCTGAATATATATCTCTCATGTGATATCAACTTTTGACTTAAAGGGAAACCAAAACAATGATTTGTAAAAATAATTGTGCTTATCATTATTTTTGTTCATGGTTGTCATTGTGACTTAGGACTGGAAAATTAAAAAAAAAAAAAAAGTGGGGCAGAGAACACTAAAATTAGCTGTGCAACGAGACAGACAAGTGACAAAATGGCGGGCGGCGATTTGTAACTTACACAATTTTCGTACTCGTCAAACCAGATGGGGGCCCTTCATGCCCCCAAGGATGGTGTCATTTTTTAACTGTAGAAAATCAATCAAATTGGAACAGAAATGTTTCATCATAGCAATGATCATTCGGAATGTTTTTGTTCTTATTTACAGTGACACTTCCCTTTACAGTACCAAGTGGATCCAAATCACAGAAAAAATATCTCTTACACATATTTCCACGTCTCCTGTGACAATTATCAGTATTTTTCCCACTCTGCTGTGACTGGGAAACCTAAAAAACACTTCAGGGACCCACTAAATCAGGTTTCACAATAACTAGGATGAAAAAAATGCATATGAGAAACATAAAAAATTATTATATAAAGTGTTTTCATATCATTTTTTAAAAGTTAATTTAGCTTGTCCCATAGAACGGCTTGCATGATATCAATTAAAAGAAGCAACATGGTCAGATATCAACTACAATGCCAGAGGTAGGATTTGATAAATTAATTAAATCTTGACTTTAGTTCTAATCCAGCTGTGTGTTTTTTTCTGTGGTTAAATTGTTCAATGATTGATAGTCAGTTGGTCAGGAGATCATAAAATTCAATCACAAAATTACTCATCATTGCTCTAATCTTAATTGCATTGTGCACTTTAACATCTAGAAACCTGATATATGTTTTGCCAGAGAAAAGTATTAATAATAATAAATAATGGAGAACAGCCCTTGGATTGTTATGTGAATATAAAGCATACAACAACACCCTTCTGAAAGAAAGCAAACAAATACCTTTCAAACTGTCCTTGAGGAACCTATAATGAACACCATATTCACCCATACAAGTGTCAAAGATAAAAGTGTGATGTCAGTTGTTTTATGTGTCACCAATGTTTTGTTTACAGGTGGATTTCACCTGTAGCACTCCTCCTGTGGACTCTGTAAGTGGGTTAACAAGTTCAAACTGTAATTCACAAATCTACCTGTTGGCTAAGTAAGGGCCAAACACAAGTCAGATGCACAGGCATCGAGAACCAGAAGTATTGACATCTTGAAAAATCCCTCTCTGGACAGTTCACAATCTTACCAAGACAGATGCTCGTTGAGCTTTTGAAGAGATACAAGTTTGACCTCTCCTTTTAATAAAAACATATGGAGGGATTTACTGTCTTTAGGGTGGAGACACTAACCGGGCTCCGGCTTTGGTGATGAACTTTTCTTTCCTCTGATTGGCCAGAATCACAAACGGACAAGCACGCTAACCAATCACATTCTGTTGTGGTGAGCGCTTTGGTCCAATCTACATGAACCATGCAAATTCCGAAAAAGAGTTGTAGCACTGTGGTGACAGCATTCAGTTGTTCATGTTTCGTTTTCAGTTTATGTCTTCGGGCTTGTGCGATTGTGTAAGCTCGGTGCCATCGACGAGTGAGCTATCCGTTAGAAGGTATTGAAAAGCAACGTGTTTGATATGTCTTCGTCCCCAGGTTCCCATTAGCCGGCAATTAAAGCTGTCAGCTAACGGCTAAGAGCTAGCTCCGACTCTTTCGCCGGCACAGCCTCTTTGTCTGACAGGCGAAGGCGTGCTCTTTTGTTAGCCTTTTTCCCTTTGTCCACTCGGGAAAGAGGAACTGTTTGGCTACGGATTCCGAAAGTACTTGTAATCCTGGAAGCAATTAGAAAATGCAGATCGCGAAAAAATACTTTACAGAGGGCCTGATTCAGTTGACGATCTTACTTAGTTTGATTGGAGTTCGCGTGGACATCGACAGTTACTTAAGCGGCTACTACACGCCTCTGGCAGAGATTAACCTAGGTCCGAGCTCAGCCTACACCCAGACACCCTTTCACAGTTTGAGGGACACCCTCGACGGATTCAGCGTCCACCCAAAATGCCCAGAGTTGGACCACTTCTTTGCTAGCCGCCGGCTGTTAGAGGAGGTTAGGACCCTCGGCGCCCCGCGGTTCCACACTCAGCTCAACGCATGGCTGGTGCAGCAGGGGTCCGGGCCTTCCACCAGCACCGACTCTGACACCGGGGCCGGCCTAGAAAGCCCCGAAGATGAGGGCAGAGGTGAACACCTGCCCGGCACTGCCCACGAAGCCAACCCCGAAGCCGAACGTGGGCCTCGTGGCGCCGGAGCCTGCTTGTTTCCTGAAGAGGCAAGTCTGAACACACTGTAAAAAAAAAAAGAAAAATGGCTACAGACATTAATCAATGATATGTGATTGAGGGAAGTTGGTCAGCTTAGATGGGTAACTGACAAATGGGAACTTAAACAGGGTTGAAACTTCTGCTGTGGGTAGATAATGCTGTTACCAGCTAGCTAGCAGTTCTAACCTTTGTCATACAAAAAAAGATATGACCCACCTAGTAACCTATTATGTTGGTTTCTGTCCTAGTGACCCAGGAAATGAGATTGGAGAATATGCAGTAAATCAAATGTGCATTCATTTTCATTTTTGTAAGGCCGTGCCACTTGTGTATCACAAGTTTCTTAAGTGCAGTTAAGATCTCCTGCACTTTCCCAGATTAAGGCATGTACTCCTCTGAACATGGCACACTGGTGACCTGATTTAATAATCTAATCGGTCTGGTTGATTGTCCATAAAAATCACCCATCAGAGCAGTCCGAAATCACAAACATTCAGCTGGCTGCTGCACCTGTTGGTTTCACTCAGAAGTTGTCACCCTCCCCGAATAGTAACCGTAGAATTAACAAGAGGACGCTTTTTGTCTGTGACATGGAAGTTTAAAACTTTACACAAAGTTGTTCGCTTTAACATTGTGGGTCTGTCCGTTGTCCCGAGTGTCAGTATGATTATCGCAAACTCTATGATTTGTCTCCATGAACCAGTATTTCTGCCTCAGCGCAGCAACAGCTGCATGGTGGATGTTATGTCCTGCGGACAGCTGACGTCTCCAGTTGTGTAACAGTGTCGCGTTCCTCAGACTCGGCCACAAGCTGTGGGCTTTGTGAAGTGGAGAAGTGAGAAGCTTGGATCCACACCCTGCTTGATTACAAAAGCAATGGTCCATACTTGAACGCTGGCTGTTTTCGCTTGGGTTCTTGTTAATGTGATCTCCTTTTCATTTCTCGCTTCTTTAAAATAGTTTGACCAGCCTGGGGTGTCATGTGTCAAATCCCTCGGCCTCAGAAGAAAAAGGACCGAGGCTGCCATCCCTAAAATGACAGCTATTGGAGTGTGTACCTTTAAAACTCCAGTCTAACCTGAAAAATTCAACCGAAATTAATCTGACAAGCTCGGGCAGAGCTGGGACAGAAGTAGCCCGGAGTGCTTCTTTTTCTGCCTTGAGCATTAATGTCTAAACCTGAGCAGCTGTCATCCTTTAGGAACAGGTTCAGACCATAACTACAATAATTACCATGAAAAACGACTTTTTTGTCAACGTGTACTGTTACAGTTTGTGACATTAGGTTAAGTGTGTCAGGTGATGTTTTGTGTAACTTCTGCCTCCAGAACAGTATTCTTATTTCTCTAATAACCTAAAATGACTGGATTGTGATCAATACATCACAAGGGAAGTGATTAAGGAGACACTTACTGTTGTTTTTTTTCCTGTTTCTCATACGCTCTTCATCTGAATTCTTTTACCAACCCAGCAGGAAGAAGTTAAAGTTAAAGAGGAGGAAGAACCTGTTCCACTCTCCCACCTGGCTCACAGTTCTTCCCTGGAACAAGAGGTATCAATAAAAAAAAATTAAAAAAAATTTCCAAGGGACTGAATTGTAGATTCAGAATTATTTAAATGATTGGCCGTTTCTTTAGATTTGATATAACTGAAACGGATGTGATGGCATATCAGCAGGAGAGTAGCATAGGTGGGTGTAAAAATGCCATCCAGATTACCACGACCTCAAAATTCTACTGAAGTCTTGTTTTTATCTTATGAAAACCAAGCAAATGGCTATTTGTGTACACATTCTTACAGATCTCTTTCAGTTGTTCTTAGTGATGTCATGGAATGTGTACAAACTTGATCATAAGCCTTATATTCCCAAGTATTCCATAAATATTTTTGCTATCTCGTCTTTATGAGAGGAAACTATGTGAGGCACCAGATAAGACCTACTAAACGTTTCACCTCTGGGGAAAATGCCAGTCATTGTGTTAGTGTAATACTGTGACATCCTATTTGATGTTTGTGTGAGGAGTTTATTAAAGTGAACCAGCTTTTCCAGTGCTTCCTGTTGCCATGCTCTTAGGAGATCCTTCTGGGGCTCCTCTCAGATGTGGCGGCGGTTGTGTTGCTGAAACTCGGGACAGTTAGCTTTGTACAGGAAGCAAAGTTGAAAAGCAGTGTTCTTTGGCCTGCTTCTGTGGTGGAAACCACTGCAGGGGCTCATGAACGCTTCTAAAAGTCATTACCAGTCACATTTGCAAATGTAAGTTAAAACTTGTATATGAAAGGAACTCTATAACCGTAGAGATGACGGTACAAGCATGCGAGTGGTTTGTACTTTCTCTATCAGCTGATATTCTGTAGGATTTTCAGAGCAGAAACTGCGTTTTGGTCCAACAAATCAGAATTTTGGGGAAACGCGTGCCCCACATCTAACACACCAAAACGAAAAATGTCCGTCTCTAGTTCATTTTCTACGTTTTGCTATGCTGCGGTTGGCGATTATGGCAACTTGTGTAAACTTATGAGCATCTTTCTATTTTTTCAGGGTCTGCTTGAAGGCGTCACCCCACTGCCCAATCCAGGGGTCCACCATCCATTTCTCTCTGCCACTGACATTGACTGGAGCAATTTGCTCTCTGTTTCAGACATAGATGTAAGTAGTCCATGCGTGTCGATTACATTAAGCTTCCTTACACATTCGTATTGTTTAAAAAGACTCTTGATGCGAAAGCTCAAAAGTTTAAGTATGGGATTGGAGTTTTAGCATGCTTTAATGATCTCTCTTGTGCAGGACCTGGACTCTCTTGTTCCGGAGCACCTGCCTGACCTGGACTCCGACATCAGCAGTGCCATCAGCCAGGACGTCAGCTTGCACGACGCAATGGTGACCAACGCTGGAGCTTATCTCTCCGGGGGCTCCGAGTCCGGGACAGGGACCCGACCGCCGAGAACCCTCCTGCGCCTGGAATCCACGGGCTCCTCGTTCTCGGACGCTTCACCTGGGTTGGCCCTGGGCCTCGCCGCACTCCCCTTTGCGTCGGTGTCCGGAAACTTGATACCGCAGAGCACCCTGGGCAGCTGTCTGGACGAGGCCGTGTTCGACCAAATCAACCAGCTGGGTTTGGACGGCCTGGACACGATGGACAACCAGCTGCTGAGCTGTTTGGGGTGCATAGATCCACAGGTCCTGGAGGATTTAGACTCCGATTCTGGCCTTTCTTTGGAAAGCAGCTCTGCAAGCCCTGTGTCTCCAGGTTGGTAGTAATCTCTACAAGCACCTGGGATTAAATGATTTGGATACGTCTCATGATGTTGTGATTATAACACATGAACCGTCTCTGTTTTTTTTTCTTCTCCAGGCTCGTCTGAGATGTCTTCTTCGTCCAGTTCGTGCTGGGACGTGGAGTGCGGAGCCACCGGCTACAGCAGCGAGGCGGATTCGGTCCCCGCCAAAGGCCTGGTGGACCGCCCCGCGCCGTGGCCGCCCGCCGACCTGAGCGAAAGCGTGTGGCACGACCACAGCTACTCCTCCCCCGCCCTCCTCACCAAGGCGTCCCTGAAGGAGGAGCCGCTCAGCGACGAGGACGAGGGCTCGCTGCTGGAGGAGCGGGAGCTCAGCCGGGACGAGCTCCGCGCCCGCGCCCTCTGCATCCCCTTCTCCGCCATGCAGATCGTCAACATGCCCGTGGAGGAGTTCATGGAGGTCCTGGACAGCCACGGCTTCAGTTCAGACCAGGTGACCCTCCTGAGGGACATCCGCCGGCGCGGGAAGAACAAGCTGGCCGCGCAGAACTGCCGCAAGCGCAAGCTGGACGCAATCACCGGGCTCCAGGAGGAGGTGGACCGGCTGCGGGCCCAGAGGGACAGACTGCTGAGAGACAAGCACCTCACGGCCAAGACAATGGGCGCCGTGGGCCAGCAGATAAAGCAGCTGACCAGAGACGTGCTGGCCCGGCTGAGGGACGATGCGGGGCAGCCCCTGAGCCCGGAGAGATTCACCCTGCAGTGCGGGGCTAACGGACGGGTGGCGGTTCAGCCCATCCGGCGGCCTGCCGTAGCCACATCAGCGGGCCGAAAAACCACCAAGAGGAAGAAGGAGAAAAAGCAGTGACGCCCCCACAAGCTGGAGCCGCCAGCTCCATTTTGGATATTACTGAACTCAATTTCCAGCCTCTGGTTTGGAGATCTCTCCTTTTGAAAAAAAAAAAGTGTGTGTGGATTTGCCACTCTTGGGATTCTAAATGGGTAGAAGCTGCAGAAAACAAAAACAAACAAAAAAAAAGACACTCGGAGCATTGCAAATTAAAAACAGTATTTGTAAATAATGAGAAAATTGTAGCTTACACACTGGACATTCTTTGCTCGCTAAAGATGGGCAAAGCAAACGGGGTGTTTAAAGGGAACAGCTCAGCTACTGGTAACTTTATCAGTCTCTCCTTGTGCCTGTTAAGATATGATAAGATGATTACTTACAATTTTAAAGTGTGACAGTTACTGGATAAGGATCTAAAGGATTGGGTTGGGTTTGTTTGCGTGTAACTTGGCCTTTCTTTATGCTCTACAATAGAAGGAGAAGGTTAGAATTTGTATTTATTATAGTTTCCAAGGTTCTTGAAATGCTTAAATGCATTATGAGACTGTTCAAAGTGGTAAATTTAAGTGAAAAGCAATTGGAATACAATCTATCTAATGTTTACAGAAAATCTTTCTGTTAGGTGTTTGGATTTTTTAAAGTTTTCCTGTCATTTGGGTGCTAATGGTTCATATAAATGTCTACCGTATGATTTAAAAAAAAAAAAAAAAATTCGTTTTTTTTTAATGCAGAATTTATCTTCCTCTCTTCCCTTATGTCTTTGAAAGCATTCTATTCTACCGCACGTCTTGGTATATGTTAATTTTGTCAAAGTTTAGGTTTCCTTTCTTGTTTTAGGGGCTTAAATGTGATAGTTCACAACTGATTCTTAACAAGATTCCTCAATAGAGATGAAACGTCAATTTCCTAAATACAAAAAACAAAAAAAAGAATGTAATCACCAAGTGTTGTGTTGGATGCTGTTTAGATGTTCAAGATTACCTGAGAGTTGATTTATAAGGTCAGCTGGTGAGTGAAACGAATACGAAATGCTTCTAGTTTACAGTGCAAACGAACATTCAGTTAGTTTCAAGCACAATTTGACTCAGCCCCTTCATTTCATATACTTTTTCCAACAACATTATGTTCTACCTCATGTCTAAATATGTGTCAGTTTGGGTTGAATAAAAGTTTTATTGGGGGAGTTTAAGTGCACTTGTAAAACAAAAATTCATGAAAATGAATGTGACCCAAAGTAGACAAGTTACACTTTTACTGGAAAATCCACTAACAATGTCACTACACACACACACATATATATATGTGTGTGTGTGTGTGTGTAAAATGAGATTATCAGTGGATTGTATCTAGTTTTCCAGTTGGAGAGGTTCCATGTTATTGATGGATATACAGCTTTACTTAGTTAATTGGAGTGAGTGGCATAATTGGAGAGCGCAGAAAGTAGTGACTCAAAAGTATCCGTTTTTGTCCTGGTTTGACTGAGAATTTCCTTTTTGCTGTTTGAACAACTTTCATAAATGTCAATCTTGTTGCTGAGGGCACGTTTCTTTGATTGCACGGTGACTGCTGAAAGTATGATTTTTTTTTTTCTGTGTGAATAATTTGAGTTGCTCTTGCAGACATTGTTCTCTCTGACTGAAATAAAAACTGACCGACCGTCTGATTCTTCTCAGAAAATTTCTTAATAAGAAAACACGGTTCTTTTGTGTATTTTTAAGTGACCGACATGCATCCATATTCTGGAGCAAAAAGCATCTGTACAGTGAGAGAAATAGTTAAACATTCCAGTAGATATAGACCAAAGTCACCCTGTAACAGGGCATGGGTTATGAGTTCCACAAAACAGGCTTGAAAAAAGGTCCTTTCCAAAAAGCATTGAACTAAAAACACTTAAATACAAAACAATTTCCAGGGTTTTGCAGAAAATGTTTGTTTTCCTTTCAATGTTCTTATGGCCTGGTTGTATGTTGCTTTATTTGATTTTTTAAAAACTAATTTCTAATGTAGTTTTTCCTTGTTATTGCATTGTTAGTCGTGGTGCTAATTTTCAAATAACTGTGCTGCTCCTCCTCGATTGTTCAAAAATGGGTCGAGGAATGGCAAACCCGTTAAACGAAGTCCTTCTGGGCTTCCGTAGTGGCCCAACATCTGCCTTTTGGCGCCTGCTCCGTAGGTTCACTTTACAGCGCTGTAAACCGGAGAGAAAGAAGCTGCCAACCGCGTGGTAGAAAGGTATCATTCACGCCATTCTCGTGATATTTAGGGTATGTATTCAGACTCGCAGAGGTATGTTGCATCCTTTTTTTTGCTTTTGCAGAAGTTTAATTGTTTTGGTAAAGCAAAGTTACGAAATGTGTGCAGTTGCTAGCTTTACACGTAGGAACCTGTGGCTACATAGTTTTGTTACCCCAGCAGCGTTAGCCGCTTTTGTGTTTAAAAAGTGTTTCGCGCACTTTGTTCGCGAAACGGACATAATCTATCTTAAAGACACTTGCGATTTGTAGGATTCGTACAACATGCATATTTTTTATTTTTTTTGTCTTCGTATGTCCCATTGTCTCTTTTGTCTGACAGCAAAATGCTAATGTTTGATTGGCATGACCTCATTGCGCTCTAGTCGTTCATGCCATCTAGAAAGTGGCACAATCAGATCACGGGAATCGTCGACCAAAAATAACTGAAATGAAGTTGGTCGCAGTTAGCTGGCTGGCTAACCCCTCGTCGCGCAATGTCCATTTGGCTAGCTTTTGATACTGTAACGAAGCTAACTATATTTTTGCAAAGTTTAGTTTGTTACTTATTACGACCTGAAAATAATGCAATGCCAGAAAAGGCAGTAGGTTTGAATGTTTGTTTATACCCCCCACCTACAAAAATGGCGGATTTGGGGCCTACTGTAAAACTCGTAGTAGAGATGTGTCTTGAAGGATGAACTAAATGTCGGTCCTTTTTTTTTTTGTCCAGAGGGAAAATGGGCAAGAAGCAGAACACGAGGACTAAAAAAGACACGCAAGTGACCCAGGAAGAGCCTGAAGAATTTGTTGTGGAAAAAGTCCTCGACCAGCGAATTGTGAATGGGAAAGTAGAGTTCTTCCTGAAGTGGAAGGGATTTACAGAGTGAGTTGCTCGAGACCCTGCCTCTCCTCTGGAAGTGCTTCCCTGGAACTGGGCCGTGCTGTGCTTTTGTCTGATAGATGCAGCTGCAACTCTCAGCACAGTTCAATTTCTTACCGTTGTCATGCTTTGTGATGTAGTCCATGTTATTGGATGGGACGAGATGGAAATGTTGCCTTCCCTCTTGCCCGTTTAGTGCTGACAACACATGGGAGCCAGAGGAGAACCTGGACTGTCCCGAGCTGATCTCAGCTTTTCTGGAAGCGCAGAAAAACGTCAAGGAGAAGCCCGCCCCCGTGAAGAGGAAGGCCTCCACAGAGGAGCCAGAAACGGAACCCAAGAAGAAAGATGTGGTGTGTAGTCATCCAACTGGCCTTTGGTTTAGACATGAATGTATTTTTATTTTATCAGCATCAATTTCTGATACATCAATTTGATAAACATGGTCTATGTATAAGGGTTTATCATTCAATGATAGCTGGTGTGAAATGTTCAGCTGGAAATGGAATTTTCATAAAATACTCGAGTAGCTGTTCGGGTTTCTGCACATCTCCATGTTTGGTTGTCACTGTTTGTAGGCTGAGAAACCACGCGGCTTTGCCAGGAACCTGGAACCCGAGCGAATCATTGGTGCCACAGACAGCAGCGGGGAGCTGATGTTCTTGATGAAGTGGTGAGTTGTTGACGTCAGATAACTGAACTGAACATTCACGTTTAACTCTGATGTCTGTATTTGTTTATTTTTTTAAATAACTAATCAGCCTTTTGAATTTTTCCCCTCCCTGTGTAACTGTAATAAAAATAAACTACTAAAAATATCCTGGTGAACAGTTAGCTGAATCTATTTGTTAATGGGGGGGAAAAGAACAACTGAACAACATGCTCGTAGCTGCCTGTGGGAGTTTTAATTAATGATTTTTTTTATTAAAGACGTGTCCACTGATGGTTAAGTTGGTCTTATTTGGGCTCTGGTTTTGAAGGACCAGTGTCACTCCATTGGTTCTTTGGGGCAAATCCCGCACAGCTCAGATCCACCATTTCTTGATCAAAGATGCACTCATTGACTCTTCAGAGGATGGATTCTGTAGTAAAACTTCTACAGTATATCAGAAATTGATTACAAAATGCTTGAAGCACACAGTGTATTTGTTGCAATTGTGGTTGACCTCACAAATAATCCCACTATGTGAGGTCATCTGCTACCCCCCCTTTGTGAGGAACTGGCCCTTGATATAATTGCCTTTTTTTAACTGCCTTTTTTCCCTTTGGGATATATCCAGTAGTAATTTCAAAACGATTATTGGAACATTCTCCGTTGCCTTTGCTTCTCCCCTAACACCCTTTGGTCCTTTTCTCAGGAAAGACTCGGATGAAGCGGACTTGGTCCCCGCCAAGGAGGCCAACACTCGCTGCCCTCAGGTGGTCATTTCCTTCTATGAGGAGAGACTGACATGGCATTCCTGTCCAGAAGACGAAGCTCAGTAATTCTTCCCGCTGACCCTTTGCATTGCCTAGATCCTCAGGACTGGATTTTCTCTTCTGGCCTTTGTTGTAGTTTTTTTCTTTTGTTTTTCAGGATGTTTCTACACCTGCATTGCATGACAGTAATGGGAAGCTTTGTTGTACATAGTAGCTAAACAGACTGTTCAAGCTAAAAAAACAGTGATGTTGTAGTGCATCAAGACATTAGTCGTCCTCTATCGCGTTGCGGTTATTCTGTTTTATCCATACTTGTTGTCATAAAATGTGTTAAGCTGTCAGCCAACTTTTTTTCTTTTATTTTTCACAAACCCATGCTTTGTTTTTCTCCCTCACGAAAAAGTGTTTTATCCCAATATTAAACTTTGTTTACTGTCTGTAAATAAACTTTCAAGTTCTAATAAAGGTTTTATGTGGCCCAAATTGACGGCTTGGTTTGTTATTGCTCCATGGACATGGATTGGAACACAAACATGTAATTGGTGATTTGAATAGAAGCTGAGCTAGTTTTTATCTTTATACAGTTTGTTAAACTTAAAAATATTGTTGAGAAACTAACATGGCAAAAGTCAAACGCTTAAATACTTATTTTTTTCTCCCGTTATATAAGTGTTCACCCACCTTGGCAGTGCCACCGCTGCGGTGTGGAGAAACTTAACTGGCATTAGTGGCCGAAATGAACTTTGGACTGGGCCTGTCTTTGGCATTTAGTGTTTTCCAAAAGCTTTCCTTTTCCTTCTGTTGAAATCTGCAAGTTGATCTGAAACCTTCAAATATATGATATTTTCATTCATAAACAGGACGCCTGGTCCAGGCATCTGAGACAAGCCTGTACATAACAAGGGTGTAAGATGAAGGCTAGTATGGCACCAGCAAGTAGTGGGGATGGTGCACAGGGACATGCTTTGATGAAGGGTATGACTGTTTTAAGTGATTTATAAATGTGTGATGTCATTAATCCCACCATGAAAGCCCAACAACCTGCTTGATTAACAACGGTGCCGGCAATGCCCACTGTGAATGGCCAAGAGGGAAATGAAATCTTATCAGGAGAACAATATTTACGATACAAAGAAGGGCGGCAGGGAATTCATACCAACGGCATTGATTGAATCAGGTGACCAATCAGTGCAGCAGTCGTCCCACCTGTATGCAAATTGTCTTACATCATCAAAGCCCAGTTTTTTACCTTCTTACCTAACAACGTGCATGCATGTCGTTGTCCTTAAAATGACTTAAACTGGGTTTTGTTCAGAAATATGCAAAGTTTGGTAAAAACAATTTAATGTTGTTACGGTGGACCGGGTGAATAGGTAGAGTTAGTTATTTTACACTTTGTCATTTGGAAGACGTGAGGTGCTAATGTGAGACATCTTCTGGAATTTTGGAGTATGACTGGAAGAAATAAAGATCATCTATGCTCTGCATGTGCATCACATGACTGTAAAAGTCCACTTCATGGAGCCGTAGCCTGGATCAGCCGGGTCTTTTGACTGTTTTTTTTTTTTTCAAAATTGAAGCCAGCCAGCCAGCTCCTCCAGACATGGGAGTAACTAAAGAACATTTTGATCTATCAGCTGCAACTGAAAATCTCTTTGTCTGTTTACACAAGATACGAGGCCTCTATATGCAAATTGACAAGCTACTTCGAGGTATTACTTCATTTATCTACAGTCATGTCTGGCTGCTTCTGTTTAGATGCACTTCTGGGCTGGACAATAAGGGAAATTAAGCTTCTGAAGACGTGACATTTGAGAGGTAATTCTCGATCAACTCTTTGCAATCCTTTTTTAGGCACATATGTGTGTTTGCATGACCTGAAATTTGCTTTACGGAACAGTTTGGGTAGCTGGAAGCTGTCTTTTTCTGTGTTCATGTAATATCTGGTCGAAAAAGACCTGTTACATTTATTAATGGGAACTGCTCAGGGGTCAGTGAACACAGATTATTTGTGTGTTCAATGTTTGCAGTTATAAATGAAGTCACAACTCCTTTTAAAAGCGCGTTTTGACATATTAGAGACTAAATGGTTGCAAAAACGTTGTGATTATCAAAGCATTTACATGTGAAAATCATCATTTTTTATCCCTTAATGCGTCACTTAACAGAGCAGATTTGGATTAATTCACTGAAGGAAAAAAAAACACATTTATTTCCTATTTTTTTTGCATTCTGCTATAGTTTCTCCTTCAGTCTGCTCACTAAAATGTTAAAGTACTCACTAAAAGTTGGATGTTGACAAGACTTGGTGGTCTGATTTGTTCTGTTTAGGTAATTATCTTGAAAAATCTAAGTCTATAGTACTTGTGGAGACATGGTGTTGCCTTTTTTTGTAATTTTTTTAAGAAAAAGCATTAAATTGACAAATTCAGTATTCATTGCAAGTTTTTAGGGCCTCAGTGCTCATTTTCATATTTTGTAAATTGACCTGTGGTTCCCAAATAGATGTTTAAAATCGATAAGAGCATTATATTGTTGTTCAAAATCCTACTTATTCCTATTAAAAGACTACTTGGGGGGGTTTGTTGTTCGCCCTCATTAGTTAGACTCCTCCCACCAGCTGATACGGTTTTAAGTGATTGATCAGGGCACAGGTGCGCGCGGAGGTTACACATAACACACTGCCCTCCAAAGTCACGCACGAGGATTTTTTTTTTTTACAACTTTTTATGTTGCGTCTTGTCGATATTTTCATAGCGACGCGACCTGCCGGGGACGCAGGAACAGGTCCAGGAGGAACCAGAAGTGTGTTTTTGTCCTGAGAGGCCAGAGCAGACCAGGCTGCGTTCAGGGCCAGTCCACCCAACCGGCCCTGTTTGTTCGTCGACATCGGAACATCGGATTATATCTGCAGCAGAAGAGAGGAGAGGTAAGTTTATGAATGCTGCAGGTCTTTAAGCTTTAACAAAAAAAAAAAAAAAAGTTTTTTTTTTTTACCGTGAAGAAACTTTTAAATAGACTAAATTCGATGCAATGTCTTCAGGAAAATGACAAAAATGGCCTTCCTTTTTTCCCAGACCTGATATATGTGTGTGTAAGTATGTGTGTGGTTGTGTTGTTGTGTATCTAGACAGGCTTGGGCATAATCTCTAACCCAGCCAGGGGTTGTGTAGAAAGGGACTTGTGTAGAAAATGACATATTGTTATGCAACCGTTTTTTAAGGGGGTGGTGAGTTTGCCATAATGATTTAAACTAGAAGCTGCGTTTGACCCTATCTGTTCAGATACAGTCATGAGGAATTGATTTAGTTTAGTTGTCTTCTCTCCCTAACGTTTTACCTGACTTGGAGAATCATTGTGCAATAAAATAGATTGTCATGGACAAGAAAAGTCACTTAACACTACTCTGACGTCGTAGGACTCAATGTTATTTCACACATTGAGGTCAATCTTAGACTTGGACTCATGATACTTATTGATCTGCTGTCCTCATTTTAAGTGTTAAGAAAACATTAGTATTGCTAAAGGCTATGTATACACTTTCTTTATGAGGGAATTGTTCTAGTATCTTAAATTGTAATATTTAATGACACGCACAATGTACATAATCTTATTTTATTTTTTTACCTTTACCGTTTAAGATATTAATCGAGAATTAATTATCTTATGTGTAGAGCTGATTGGATCACCAGTAAACAGCAGAGTCCCTTTAATAAAAAAAATAATCTTTTAATCGGTGCAACCTTCAGATCCTTTCTAAGATTAATCTTCTCCCTGTCCCACTTTTTAACATCAGCTCCTAATAATTGCACTAAGAGTCCTCCTTTTCATAATTCCAAAGGGCGATGTAGTGCTTCCACTGAAATGACACATTGGAACAATAGATGCTGTTAAAACCTGCATTTACATGCAACTTTCGTTTTTCATTGCAACATGCATGATACTGTATTTTTCTTGCAGAATTTTGTATCCAGGATGGAGAGAATTCCAAATCACACAGTAAATGCAAGTACATCTTTACCATATGTCTGGTCTGGCCCATGCAAATATCCCACACCTATACAAGAGGGCAAATGGTTTCTAAAAAGTTGTTTTTTTATATTTTGGCATTTTCCAGGAGTTCATAAGCATTTCTGTTCGGGATCCAAAGCTCCATAAAGATGACCACTGGCGCACACACATAGACTATGAGATCTGTTTACAAGTAAGATTTATTTATTTTTAATTGAAAATCCATAGTTAAAGGGAATAAATAGTTTGGTAAAATGTGTTTTGATACTTGTCATCCCATTTGCAGACCAATAGCATGTGTTTCCGAAAGAAGGCTTCCTGTGCGAGGCGGCGATACACCGAGTTCGTTTGGCTGCGTCAGTGTCTGGAGCGAAACGCTCTCGTCATGTACGTATCATCTAATACCCGGCTCCGTTTGTTTTTGTACGCGTGTTGGCCTGCTTCGTTTTAACAAGTCTGCAATTAACTTTGGTCCTTTATGTAGGGAATTGCCCAAGTTGCCACCTTGGAACCCCTTTTTCAGTCTGAAAAACCAAGCACAAGTTGCCCAGAGGATGAAAGGCTTGGAAGAATTCTTAGAGAAGTAAGGTTCATTATTGACTTTATAGGTATAATCCACCTTATGGTGCCATTTTAAATGGATATGTAGATAAACTGGATATATTTCAGCTATCTTATCGTCTCACTTTAATGCTGTTTCTTCTCCAGTGTTCTTCAAACTCCCATTTTATTATCGGATAGTCGACTCCATCTGTTCCTTCAATCAGACCTCAGCACTGCAAGAATTGAGAGGTGTGTTCTTGGAAGGACTAGGTATACAGTGGCTGAAGCCATTCAGCGTTCCAGCAGGGGTTGCATCAGTAGTCCTGAGGACAAGCTGTCCAGTGACTCAGATTGTGAAAGGTAGGCTTTTCGTCTTTGTTTTGGCACGCTTTTCGGATTTCATTCGTCTTTCTAATTTGTTAAATTGGTCATTTCCATCCCCCTCATGGCAGCTCTGCATCATCAGGCCTGGGACTAAGCATTGATACTGCCACGCGAGACAGTCCCCTCCCTTTCCTCCATTCATCGGAAGGAGAGCCATAGCTGCTGAGCTGTCTCTCAGGGGCCCATCTCAATCGTTGGAGGTTAATATGAAGAAAATGTAAAGTGCCTTCGGTCTGGAAGTACGTCACTGTATGGGGAAAAAGCCAGAGAGCTTTTACCAGTCTTGATCTCCAAAGAGTCAATTTTTAAAGTCGGCTTCACCCTCCACTTGAACATTCATTTTTAGTTGACTTCAATGTACTCTCAAATCATTACTTCAGTTATTTAAGTAGTGTGTGTACTTGAAAAAAATGTTTTAAAAACATACTAAAATGTGTGTAAATGTAAACAGAGTAAGATCTATGAATTCTTAAATATATCCTATGTATATTTTATCATTGGATTAAAGCTGCACTAAGGTTATGAGGTTTTGTTTGAACTGTTAAAGATTTTATGACTTTTATGATTTGTTATAGGATAAATAAATTTTCTTTTTATAAGAAAAGCATTTGTATGTGTATATACATGAGACATCTCAAAATTGGTATCTTTCAGGATGGATTATTATGGTCAAAAGTGACTGCGGTGTTAAAAATACTGTGCACTGTTTGAAATATTCCAGTAGAGGGAGTGTAGACATAAGCACAAGCCGAAGTGAGCTGAGGACACAATACTGATAAGATATGGACACTTTGAAGTGCATTCACTCAAGTAATTTATTTAGAATTTTGTCATGAAATTCTTAATCTATTCAGTGGCACTTGGGCAACTGACAGATGTCTGTTATACAGTCTGTATTGGTGGCGCTTTTGGCTAGCCTTTATGGAAGAATTTCAGAAGCAGAACTTTAACACATGATTCAATATTTTGAATTTTTTTTTTTGCACAAAGGACTGCAATTCAATCCCTCGAGACTGCCCCAGGTTGATTTAGGGTGCAAATTAATTTAACCATTAAACCGCTCTTGGGAATCACCTGGAAAAGGGTAGGACACCTTCAAACTGGGTGGTTGATGATGCAGGCACTCTGGACACCCTTGCAAATTGAAAGCTGATGAAGGTAGCAAAGGCTCATTAAAGGGGACATCGGCCCCTCCCAGCAGCTGCTGGACTGATGTGTGGCCAGCCCCGCTCAAACCTGGTCTGCCATGTGTTGCTGTCCTCATCTCGCACTCTCCCTCTCTCTCTCCGGATTGCACAATTTCCCTATGCGCACAACCCATAATGAAGCTGTCAGCGACTTCACACAACAGCCGTTGAGCTGTTTTCATACTGCAAACACAAATGCATACATGCACAAAATGGTTCTTCTGAAAAGCACTGACAGTTGTGTGTGTGTGGGGGGGTGAAATAAACAAAACAAGAGCTGTGCATGAATGAGCATTTTTCTCCTCTTCTCATCCTGTCATTTTTCAAGTCCCACTGGTTTTTGGTTGGAGCTCCACATCCCAGTTTGCTGTCAAGGTTGACCTTATCAACGCCGTATAACAGGCATGCAGCACGGGACGCACAAACACGCACCGGCTGGTTCAGGAGCGGCTCGGTTTCCTGACAAAATGAAATGCAGCTGCCAGTGACTTCATCTACTTTTGCTGTGTGTATGCATGCGTTTGCCTCTCTGAAGAGAAATACATGCAGCATTTGGATATTGAGTATTCATGGTACATGTCTATTTCATCTTGGTAATTTATAACTCAATTTCCAGTGTGCATTGATGCATATCACACCTCCAAAACACCAAACAAAGCCCAAACCCAATTGTATTTCAAAGCAATTAGGGTGTCCACTGAGTTGTGAACGGTCCACGTTGCGATGGCTCTGGGCCCATGTGATATTCTTAATTGTTAATTTTCTATCACATTAGTCAACTTCAGTGCCTTTGGACAGGTGACCAAGCGTCGGCAGGGAACACATGAAAAGAGAGACGGAAGCATATTTATCAGCTTTTTTTAATGCAGCATGGTGAATGGTGTTTGAACGTGTGGAGGAGAAAGGTGCCGTTGTATGTGATGAGTTAAGTGACGAGAGGATATTTCATATTTACGGCCGTTTTATGGACTGAAATCCTTCTAATGTTCTTTGATGTACGTGATGACTGTCAGTATTGGTTTAAGTTTATGAGTCTAAATTATTAGCTCATTTAGACGTTCACCTGATGCAACCGCTGGGAATGGCTTCACCTCCTCGCCCGTCCAAAAGCCAACAATGGTAAAAATCCATACGAGCAATTAGCCTGTTTAGCTCTCACCTCGCTCCTTGTGCTTATTTCCCGGCCCATTTTGCATTTCTCTCTCTCTTCCGCCCCTCTCTTTTCTTTCAGTTTCTGCCTTTTCTCGTAACTCTCATTATCTCTCTATAGGCAGCTAAGTTAATTACCTGTTCTCTTTTGTAAATGCGTGCTTTTTTTCGGCTGACGCTGCAGACCAAGGCTCGCTAAAGTCAAGGAGTAGGCCTGGGTCCTGACCTTGCCGACTCCTCTTAACTTGTTTGTGTGTGTGTGTGAGCGTTCGGGGTCAAAGGTGACGACTTGCATTGTATTTGCGATTATTCCCTCTAAAGTGCCACGGCGCAGGGCATCATTAAAAGTCAATGCATCTCTCTCCCCAAATCCCACCACTGCACGCCCAAAACATACACATCCACACATTTTGCATGCACTCCACACATCACCGGCCATTTAGCAGCTAAAATACGACCCGTGTGCAGATAAATGTCACGGGGCCATCTATCTGAGAGTGTTAAAAGTCGGCTAATGGAGATGACATATTAGCAGCTCAAATGACGGCCATAAAAGCTCCCGCCATACCTTGAGGCGCTGCCTGGTCACTGTGACTGCAATGGGATATGGCACTGGCACTGCGAGTGTCTGCTCACGGGAAACGAGGAGAGGAATGGAGGGTGATGTCATATTTGGACGGAGATCTTCCGATTCAATAAAATCTGGTAGGTAAGGACCGAGTCGTCTCTTATATCACACACAACATGAAACTCTTAACGCAACCCTCTCGACTTTGACCGCACATCCAATCATTTTGAGGTCTGGTCAGCTTTATATTGTTACTGTTTGTGTCACTAAGAGAGCCCCCTTTAAAATCAATCCCCCCCTCTCCGGCCCTACTTGAAGATCCTCCACAGGTACGTGATCGCCTCTGTGATTTCTCCTTAACCCCCCGCCACCCCACCCCCACCCCCCTTCCTATCACTTTATTAATTACCCCTCTCCATCCATGCGTGTCTTTCTCTCTCTGAGTGAATGGAGCAGTTGTAATTGCTTCTCTCTGGAGCAGTTAGACGCGGCACAAAGGAACCATATAGAAACCACATTTGCATTCGAGATGAGCCGAGATGGAGAGGAGGGAGGGGGCACTGCCCTCCTGTCCTGGACCGAACAGCTC